TTGCAAACAAAATTTCCTTGGAGGTTATCAACTGATTTAAGCTATCCCTCTGCTCTTTTGAAATTGTATAAATGTTCTCTTTCTGCAGATCTATATCTATATCTTTAATTTTATCACCAGTATACAGCCTTGAATAAAACTCTAAAAAAGATTTTTTAATCAATTCTTGCTCATAAACCTCTTTACCCTTATATTTTATTTTCTCTATTGTCCTTGATTTCTGCTTTTTCCTTAACAAATATGCTAACCACCTGCCTGGTTTATTAGCATTACAAAAAGTATTATGTTTTGCATATTGTAAATTAGTTGCCACTTGATCTGCTATTAACATATTAAATTGACCCTTCAATAAATTAATTGCCTCTTTAATTTTCTTATCTGTTAGGTTGGCTATTAAGCCCGTTCCTGTTTACTAATCTCATCTTCTAATTCTTTTCTTTTTTTCCCCTGTTTCTTTCTATATTTATTGTTCAAATATATCAAAATTCCTCGCATATATGCTTTACTTGCATCCCATACCATTTCCATAGATGTACCCTTTTGCATGTTCATAGCAAAAAATTCTTTCATAAATTTTTTACACTCTTTTACAACTTCCGGTTGGCTCCGTGAGCTTTGCTGAGATGCCTCTGTGGGTGTCCGATCCCTGGCACCATAAAAGCTGCCAGAACAGCCGAAAAACAGCTGTCTGGCAGCTTGGAAACCTCTCCCCGGGCAAAGGGGAGAGAGGAGAGCCGACAGGCGGAGGTAGAGCCCCCCAAGTGCCTTAGGAGAAATCCTGGGGTGCGAAGGGTGAGAGCTCCCTAGAAGCCTGTCAATTTGCTCTGGACCTGGGACGACTCCGCTAATTAGCAGAGCTAGAAGCCGCGACCAATTTCTGCTGAATACAAATGAGGGATTTATATCTTGAATTGCTGCAGGCAGAACAAGCCAGGAGAAGTCAAACTGCAAGTATTTACACTTAACTCCAGTGTTTATAGCCTCCTTTGGAAGTAACAATTAAGCAATTAAGTAATTTGCAACAAAATGGTGATTGAGGCTTGAAGAGGCATGGATAGTGAAAGTTACAGGGAAGTTTCATTTCACTGGCAGCCTCTTGCCTGATAAGAACTTTTGTACTGAGAGAAGGAGGACTTTAATACGTTAATTTATGATTGGGGAAATCCTTTGACTTTGAGGAACTTTTCTTTTTGGCTTCTGACTAAAATATAAAGACTAATTTAAACTGAAATGGCCTCAAAATCTGTAAAGACTGTTCCTATTAAAGGAACTGGGAGCGCTGGAAGCTCCCCAGCTCACACTTCTAGATTGCAAGCCTCTGCCCCCCCCCAACAGACCCACAGACTCTAACGTTTGAGATGATACAAGCAGCCCTACAAGCCACACAAGATAAAATTGCTACTGTGATTAATGTAAAAATTAATGAAACCAATGAAAAAATTAATGAAACCAATGAAAAAATACAGGCTGTTTCAGATGAAATCTCAATTCGGAATCAGGAAATTAGGGAAGATATATTACTGGTATTCAAATGTTTGGCAGGTGATATTGAAATGATGGATGATAAAGTTCAAGAAATTAAGCAATCCACAGAAATTTTGGACAATAAATTAGGAGAAACTCAGAACAGAATTGAAAGGACTGAAGCTGATGTAACGATGATACAATACAGAGATATGAAATTTGCTTTAAGATTTAGAGGGGTGAAGGAGAATAAACAAGAGAATTTGAAAGAAATGATGTCAGAGGCAATAGCACAGCTGCTGGGGGAGACAAAAAATGAGCTGGGCTGGCAGATTGACAAGGCATATCGTGTTAACTCTTGGGTGGCCAGGCAGAAACATTTACCAAGAGACATTGTAATATATTTTACCACAAGGAGACTACGTAATGAAATTTTACAGGCTACTTTTAAAAACAAGCTTCAGGTTGAAGGCCAGGAGGTGATGACAATGAAAGAAATCCCTCCCCCCAAGATCTTGAGAGCCAGAAGGGAGTATGCTTTTCTGGTGGATGAATTGAAAAAACGCCAATTACAGTATAGATGGGAGGTGCCAGCCGGCCTAGTGGTGATTTATTCGGGAGAGAGATATTGGCTTAACATAATGTGGAAAGCAAGAGATTTTTATACCAACGTATTAAAGGCTGGGATGCCCAAATCACCAGAAGGAAAAAGAAAGAAGGAAGTAATGGAAGGAGAAAGAGAAGAGTGCAGTGCAGGCTGGTGACCCCCAGGGGGAGGGCCTTCTCTGTGGGGCACCTACCCTCTGGAATCAGTTGCCCCCAGAGATAAGGAGAATCCAAGACCTCAGTGCCTTCCGCCGTGCCCTTAAAACCCATTTTTTCCAGCAAGCCGGGCTGGCTTAAGAAGAAATTTTTTAAATGTTTTAATTGGTAGTGATTTTTATTGTTGGGCCAAATTTATATATATTTTAATTGTTTTTTAATATTTGTATTGCATGTTTTTAATTCTGGCTGTACACCGCCCTGAGTCCTCAGGGAGAAGAGCGGTATAGAAATTGGAAATAAAATAAAAATAAATAAAATAAGAGCTACTGACAGTAGTTCAGGGGGGAGTTTTGACTGGTCAAGAAGAACCGTTACAAATCCAGATGGCTGTTCAAGATTTGGACTTAATTGACATATTAGAAGAACCAAAGGATCAAAGACAACCAGAGCAGCAACAGCTAAGTGCAAGGAAGAATTAAGACAGCAACAACAACAACAACAACAACAACAACTGCAGATAGCAACCAAGAAACTACAAAAACAGAAGCTGTGGGGGGAGCAAGACCTAAAGGTCAACTGAGGCAAGACCATCAGAAATTGCTCCAGATGCTTCAGAGGCCCAGAGATGGGAACTCGATTTTTGACCTGGAATGTCAATGGTTTGAATTCTCCACAGAAGAGAAGGAAAATATTTCACTATCTTAAACAATTTAAGAATGAAGTAATTTGTTTACAAGAGACTCATATCAGGATACAAGATCAAAAATATCTGATAAATTCAAGATTAGGTACACATTATATAGCAACAGCACCAGAGAAGAAAAACGGTATAGTTATATATTTGAAAAGAGACTTAATTGCTAAATTAGTTGAAGCGGATGATCAAGGAAGATTTTTACGATTGAACTTTTAATAAAAGGAGAAAAAATACTTGTAATTGGAGTTTATGCCCCGAACCAACAACAAGAAAAATTTTATAATTTACTACATTCAAAGTTGACACAATGGGGATATAAAACTTTCATCCTATTGGGGGACTGGAATGGTGTTTTGGACGTAAAGAAAGACAAGAAGGAACCCAAACAAAATGTTTTAACAAGAGCAAAATTGCCCAAACCATTTTGGGAGATGATGGACGACTGGGAGTTGAGGGATATTTGGTGTGAAAGAAACCCAGAAGAAAAAGATTTTACTTTTTTTTCGGATAGACACCAATCTTTTTCAAGGATCGATTTTATATTAATTACCAATGATCTCTTATCTAGGGTGAAGAATACGAAGATTTGCTCAAGAACATTGACAGACCATAGTCCAGTTTGGCTGGAATTAGAGTATGGAAAAGGGCCTAGGAGGTCCTGGAGGTTAAATGATAACTTGCTTTCTATTTTATTCTTATTGATAAAACACAATAAATATACAGTATATAAAAACAATATAAAAAATCCTACTTGACATATTAATCTCATCAAAGTATGCATTTCTCTACATCATCTTTGTTATTGTGGCAACATGAAGGGAATTGTGTACGTTCTTTTTCTTTTTGTACTCTCTGAGATCGATTTTGAAGCCAAAGACACTCACACAATCTATATTCAGTTTTGTTTTCATGGTATAATTTAAATGATGTTGTCTGTATGTCCTTCACGGGTCAAGGTTCAGTATGACTAGAAATCATCTCTCAGGGAACACTAGAGTTTTTGCTACAAAAGAAATTAGTTTTGCAAAAAAAAAAAAGAAGAACAAAACACAACTGGCTCTGTAACTCTTGAGTCATTCATTATCTCCTCTATAATTATGAACTTCTTCAGCAAACTGGGGAATTCCCAGGGCTATTATGATTACTGACAGAGACTTTAAGCATCTCCTCTGGCCTTCAGAAATAGACAGACTATAGAGATAGAATAATATCCTAGGCTTGGCACTGAGGCTTTAATCTGCAGTTATCTGGCTTTCAATCCATCCCTTTGCTTTTCAGGTAAAGGGTGTGCTAACAATAATGTGGGATCCGGGGAAGTCTTTCTTTTCACAAATGATTTCCTATGTAGCTGTAATTCTTGGTTTCCTCATATTATTCTTCCTCCCTAAGAGTGTTGGCAAAGTTCCAGTAGCAAAATACAGGAGCACTGAGCCTGCATCAATTCCTCATAAATATTATCAAGCTGGGGACTTCATTGTTGGCGGCATTATTTCTCAGACCTTCGTTATATCTGAAAAGATGTCCTTCAGGTATCATCCCAGCAAGGATGATTTGTTAGAACACATGTGAGGAACTAGATATTTTAAAACTTCCTATTCTTTTTTTTTTAATTTTCTGCGCATGACATTCTATAGTGGATGATTTTGGTCATGTTTGAAGAACCAAGTGTTTTTTTAAATTATGTACTATAGCTTATTTTTTATAGTTTATTTTTCTTCAGAAAAGTCCTCTTTCTGTTCAATGTAGACTGATGGTGTTAGTATATCTTACAGTATAAATCACTTTAACGTTAGTTCAATAGCAGACAAGAAATATTTATAATAAAATACATCATTCTTCTCATGCTTGAACATAGGAAACAAGAACACTTTATTTCCGAACTAGGTATGCAAAGCATACTTAACTATTTTTGAAATTTCATTCTAGATTATTGTCACAGAGCTACCAACACATCATGGCTGTGGTTTTTGCTGTAAAGGAGATTAATAAAAATCCCCAGATCTTAACCAATATCACACTAGGCTTCAACATTTACAATAACTATTTTCTTCCAAGATATACTTGTATTGCTGCGATGGAACTCCTCTCTACACCAAACAGATTCATCCCTAATTATAAGTGTCACATTCAGAATAACCTGATTGCTGTCATAGGAGGACCAAGTTCTATTGAATTTCTTGACATGGCTACCATTATGACAGCTTACAAGTTTGTGCAGGTAAATCATTTGTTTAACATATATTGGGGATTGGGGTGGGTTAATGATATTTTAGTGTTCTAATATTTCATTGTGGGCCATAAATTTCATTGTGTTTTCTTTTGGAGAAAAACATTTTTTTTTAAAAAATGTAGCTTCAATAATCTCAGCTGAACCTTGGAAAGAGCACACAAATATAATAAGTATATCTGTCAAAGACGTCATGGTATTGTTTGGTTTACCTCTGGACACAGAGGTGACACTGCAGTTCCAGTCTGGAGGTACAGTGTCTACAGAATGGGGGGCAGAACAGGAAGACATTTTTATAATAACTGTGGGTGTTATTCTGTGTCCCACTCATGGTTTTCGATCAGTTGGGAACCATCTGGCTCAAATGCACACCTGCTAAGATGTCCTTGAAAAGTTTCCAGACTCTCTCTCAAGCTTCAGTGGAGCTGTATAAGTTTTATTTCTCTAGTTAACTCATTTTTTTTAATAAAAAGTTTTTTATTAATAATACAAAATTAAAAAAACATTGGACATAGATATGACATCACTGGTTCCATACATCTTCCATCACTTTACAATAATATTAGTACTCATATAAACATATAGTTCTTAAGCTTTGTTCACTATTTAAGCATAATATGATATGATATTAATAATTTTCCCCTTATTTCTGAATATTTATTTATCTCTTAAACATACATTTGTCTATAATAACATCTATATTTTTGTTCTAACACTATACATTTTTCTTGGCTACCCTCTTGTTATCTTTCCAATCATAACATTGTTCCCAGATTTTGTAGTACTTAGTTTCGCTTTTATCCTTGAGTTCCAAAGTGAGTCTGTCCATTTCTGCGTAGTTAAAGATTTTCAGTAATATTTCCTCTTCAGTTGGAATATCTTTGTCTTTCCATTTTTGACTAAATCAAAAATAGTTAACTCATTTTTAACAAACACCTCCCCATATTTCTCTAATGGCAAGTAGAAAAGACAAAGCACGTAGCTGCCAAAGTTTGATTCTTGCAACTGATAATAAGGAATTCAATGCTGCTGGACTCTACATGATCAACTTATTAAAAATTAAATTAACTGATTAAATTGTAACATTAATTAATGTTAATTTAATTAAATTAGAGCCTTGGTAGTACAGGGGTTTAAGGCACCCTGTTATTAAGCTGGTTATTAAGACCAGCTGCCTGCAATTACTGCAGGGTTCGAATCTCGCCAAGGCTCAAGGTTCACTCAGCCTTCCATCCTTTCTAAGGTAGGTAAATTGAGGACCCAGTTGTGGGGGCAATAAGCTGACTTTGTATAAATATACAAAAGGATGAAGGCTATTGCTGAGCACATTGTAAGCTGCCCTGAGTCTTCGGAGAAGGGCGGCATATAAATCAAATTTTAAAAAAAATTCATTTCAGTTAATATTATGTAGCATATGAATAAGTGGTATTTAATACAGTCATATTAAAATACACCAAAGACCCACAATTTGCTGTGTGACTGGTTTTTTTCATCACCTTGTTTGTTTTAGGTTGCATATAGTTCTGTCCCAGAGACCAGTAGCATCACTCAAAGTCATTTCTTTTACTGGATGCTCCCAAAGGCCGATCATCAATATCATGGACTTCTCCAGCTCTTTTTGCATTTTGGCTGGACCTGGATTGGAGTGTTGTACCTTAATATCGGCAACATAGCTGAGAATTTGCTGAGGAATGTTATTCCCATGTTTTCCAGAAGTGGGATCTGTTTTGAATTCATAGAAAAAATACCAGGTGGATTTCTCAGTGAGGATGAGAAGACACTGCGTACATCATACAATATTTTAAGTATTGTTTTTAAGAGTACAGCTAAAATAGTGGTGTTTCTTGGGGGATTTCAGAGTATGCTAAATTTAAGGGCTTTATTCAGAATTTCAGAATATAATGATATGCCATATAGCCCCAAGGTTTGGTTTATGACAGCGGAGGTAGACTTCTCGTCCCTTCCTTTCCAAAGATATTGGGATCTTAATTTCATTCATGGCTCTATAACGCTTGCCGTACATTCAAAACAAGTGTCGGCTTTCCAGAAATTTGTTCAGATGAGGAGCCCGGTTTTAGATAAGGAAGATGGATTTCTAATTCAGTTTTGGCAACAGATGTTTAACTGTTTGCCCCAAGCTTCCATCACAGATGAAGAGGATGACAATATCTGCACTGGGGAGGAGAAACTAGAGACTCTCCCTGTATCTGTGTTTGAAACCAGCATGACTGCCCACAGCTACAGTATCTACAATGCTGTTTATGCAATTGCACATGCTTTGCATGCCATGTATTCTTTCCAAGGCCGACAAAGAAGAATGACGAGAGAGAATTTCCTGAATCAACAGTCATGGAGGGTAAGGAGAATAATTAGGACCTTCCACTAAGTATATTGAAGCAGTAACATAGGATATGTATCAGCCTGTTCATTATTCTTTTTTGAAAAAGTTTTTTTATTATTTTTTTAAAACATAAACCTAAAATACATCTTTTAAGAACGGAGCGCTGATCCGGTCATGAATAGGTACAATTGCTTACCCATCTTTGTCAAGCTCTTTCCCAAGTCTCCATCATTACATTTTTTAAAATAAAAACCAGAACAAATTTTTTTCCCACAATTGTATTATCTAATCTAATGCCATCTATTGAAAAAAAAATCAATTTTATAAAGATGATATAATGCATCATTAAGGAAATCTAACCATTTATCAAAAAATAGAAAACCTATAAGAGACAACACAATAATAACTAATCTACTGAATATCTGGGTCAAACACATAAAAAAATAAGCTTATGTTTACCCTTTCTATTTCTTGCCTTGTTACTGAATACTGAATTAGTTGTTGCACTAATATTAATCAGAATCTGAAAAGGTCAAATGCTATATGATAAAATGCATATTGAATTTGATTATGGTAGCAATAATTTACTTAAATAATTATGGTGCAGTTGTTTAAAGACAGCAGGAGTGGTATGGCTGCCTTTTCTTTCTGTAATTAAACATAGACATTCTTCTGATCTAAGAAGACCAGGCAGCCTTTCAAAGCAAATTAGGTATACTTTGAAGGAATATATGGTTTTATAAAAATTTACAAAACTATTACAATTTACAATGGGAATTTAACTTTCAACATTTGTTTCTGCCTGTATGAATTACTTCTCAAAACTCTCTCTCTCTCTCTCTCTCTCTCTCTCTCTCTCTCTGTGTGTGTGTGTGTATGTTTTGCTCCTTATATTTCCAATGTTTTTTTTTAGAAAATGATTTGTCTATTTTAACCATCAAGACTGTTCTACCAGTTATCTTTATTTATTTATGTATTTATGTATTTATGTATTTATTTATGTATTTATGTATGTATTTATGTATGTATGTATGTATGTATTTATTTATTTATTTATTTATTTATTTATTTATTTATTTATTTATTTATTTATTTATTTATTTATTTATAAATGCGGATAATACAAATATTAAAAGTCCCTTAAAATTATTAAATATTTTGGCCGAAACACAGATTAAAACACCCAATTTATAAAATGATAATCGAGGTGATGTCCCGGTGCCTGGAGGCCGTACAGATCTGGATGGGGAGGAACATACTCAGGCTCAACCCATCCAAGACCGAGTGGCTGTGGTTTCCGACGTCCCGATATAGTCAGTTGGCGCCATCTCTGACTATTGGGGGTGAGTCGTTGGGCCCCACAGATGGGGTTCGCAACTTGGGCGTCCTCCTGGATTCACGGCTGTCTTTAGAAGAGCATATGGCGGCCATGGCCAGGAGGACTTTTTATCAGGTTCGCCTGATTCACCAGTTGCGTCCCTTTCTGGATCGGGACTCGTTACGCATGGTCACTCACGCCCTTGTCACCTCAGGCCTGGATTATTGCAATGCTCTCTACATGGGGCTCCCCTTGAGGAGCACCCAGAGGCTCCAATTGGTCCAGAATGCGGCCGTGCGGGTGGTGACGGGAGCAATGTGGTGCTCCCATGTGACCCCCCTCCTGCGTGAGCTGCACTGGCTCCCAGTGGTCTTCCAGGTGCGCTTCAACGTTTTGGTTACCACCTTTAGAGAGCTCCATGGCTCAGGACCAGGGTACTTACGAGACCGCCTTCTGCCACCAGTAGCCTCTCACCGACCAGTTCGCTCCCATAGAGAGGGGCTCCAAACAATGTCGACTGGTGGCCCCCAGGGGGAGAGCCTTCTCTGTGGGGGCACCTGCCATCTGGAACGAGCTGTAAGTCTTGGATACGGAGGATCTAAGACTTACGCATCTTCCGCCGTGCCCTAAAAATGTTTTTATTCCAACAGGCTGGTCTGGCCTAACTCTCCCTTTTAAATTGGCTTTTAAATTGGGTTTTAAATGTTTTTTAGATAAATTGGATGTTTTTAATTTGTTTTTTGAGCCTAAATTATTTAATCTGTTTTTAATAGTTTTTTAACTTTTGTATGTCTCTGTATTTTATTTTGGCTGTTCACCGCCCTGAGTCCTTCGGGAGTAGGGCGGTATACAAATATGATAAATCAATCAATCAATCAATCAATCAATCAATCAATCAATCAATCAATCAAACAAATTAAAAATTTAAAAGAGGAGAGTTAGGCCAGGCTAGCCTGCTGAAATAAAAAAGTTTTGAGAGCACGACGAAACGTGCGCAGGTCCGGGATCCTCCGTATCTCCGGGTGGAGCTCATTCCAGATGGTAGGTGCCCCCACAGAGAAAGCTCTCCCCCTGGGGGCCACCAGTCGACACTGTTTGGCCGACGGCACCCTGAGAAGCCCCTATCTATGGGAGTGTACTGGTCGGTGAGAAGCTATTGGTAGAGGCTATTTTTATTACATCACCACAAATCTTAATTTCCAAATAACACAATATTTAATTACTAATATTAATTAATATTTAATTACTATTATGCCCTAAATTCTATCTATATACCCATATCCTAGGACCCATTACATTAAATCTTTAAATCCTATTCTCTTTTAACTTACACCACTTATAACACATTACGTTCTTCATTTTACACAGAGTCATTTCATTATTACAATCTTATCATCTTCAATTTACTGTTCATATCAACATAGTCACCTTTATTTTTAGTACTAATCCCAACATAATCATTTTGTTATTACTATCAATTCCAGCTTCAATCATTTTTATTTTCTCTATTTGTCTCTTAATCATCTTCTTTTTCCAGCATATTCATTTATTATTTGACTATTTCTCAACATAATCATCTATTGTTTTGGCTGATTCCCAGCATATTCATATTATTGGGCTGTTTCCCAGCATATTCATCTTTGTTTTACTATCACACCAGAAAAAACCTCTCCATCTATTATTTTGGCTGATTCCCAGCATATTCATCTATTATTTGGCTGTTTCCAGCATATTCAGCCTGTTCATTTTTGAGCTGCTCGGGTATGTAGTGACCTCTAGTAATTTTCACTATCTGTGCCCAACAAAATTATGCATTAAACTATGTATTAAAATGATTGCCCAATACTCTTTCCTATTAGATCTGAATTCTACAATCTGAATTATTATTTTTTTAGAAATGAGGTAATTCTAGATACTGGAGGTTACTCCCATAAATGACTTGGTCATTCTTCTAAGGAAGAAATCCAATATGCTTTCCCATAAGACAAGTATAATATCCTAGCAGCAATTAGCATATACAAAGCAAATTAGGTATACTTTAAAGGGATATATGGTTTAATAAAAATTTACAAAACTATTACAATTTAAAAATGGAAATTTAACTTTTAATGTTTCTTTCTGCCTGTATGAATTACCTCTTAAAATTCTGTGTGTTTGTGTCTGTGTCTTTGTGTCTTTGTCTGTGTCTATGTGTCGCTCATCACACTTTCAACTTTTTTTCTAGTATATAATTTGTCTATTTTAACTATCAAGACTGTTCTATCACTTATAGAACACATCATATGAATTTTCTCTGTGTATAATATTCAACTCCAGAGACTTGTCCGGGTACATACTAGGAGTCAATACTGACTCCAAGGTACATGCACACACACACATGCATTCACATATGAGGAGAAAGAGAGACAGACAGACAGACAGACAGACAAGAGAGAGAGACAGAGAAAGAGAGAGAGTGAGAGTGAGGAGACACACACAGAGAGAAAACATTCACAATAAAAGATTTCCCCTTGAAATTCATTGGCATCACAAACAGTTTGAAAAACAATTTTAGAATTACTACAGAGACTGGAGGTAAGTACGACCACAATATGGAAAATGTCCAATAAGTACTCCCCACAGCTGGCTTTTTTTAGTCAATATGTAGAACTGTTACAGTTGAAAATACCTAACCTGATATCTGTAAATATGTAAATATGTTTGCTTGTGTATATGTCATTGTGTGATGTCATTGTGTCACTTATCATTGGTCACTACTTACCATTAGCCCCGCCTCCTCTGTATATAAGCTCTCGCTCCCCTCAGATTGATGGCTGTCTAAATGTGTTCCTGAGGAAGAAAATAAATATTATTATTACAAGAAAGTCTACAGTCTCTTATATTGGGCCTAACCAGGATAACCAAACTAGTAACAAATTGGTAGCAAGAGGATGGTTTGGTAGGCCCAACCGAACATAAAGATGCAAGACTCACATAACGACAAAAGAAGACCTGCCACCAGATACATAACGAAAAGAATAGCAGCTCAACTAACTCCTGACAAATATACACCACTTGAAAATATTAAGAAACAAACGCAATTACAAGAAAATGAACTGCTAACACAAAACGAACAACCACTAGCTGGAGCAGAACAAACTTTCTCAACACCAAACAAAGAAGATGAGGTAAAAAGAAAAATACTAGAATTAATAGAAACAACTACAGCTGAATCAAATCTGCTTGTGAAAATCCGCAGCATGATAAACGACCACGGAACAGCAGCAGATAACGAAAATAACAAACAAGAAAACTGCAAGGTAAGAAATTCAACCCCTGACTTCAAAAATGACACCAAAGATGGCGACAGCTTCCTGCCTTTTTCATGGCAGCCATCTTACCCACCTAATACCTCTAAAATGCCTGTCCAATTACTAAAAGAATTCCAAACCTCAAACTACGAAATAAAAAACAAAACCTACCAAGAAGATGACTACCCGAGTTCAAAAACAAATAAAAAACAATTATTTAAATAAAACAAAGCTCATCCTACTGAAGTAGAAATAGACAATGCTATACAGGTGCTAACTGCAGCACTCGGGACTAAACTAACAATACCAAACAAACAACCAGAAAATGAAATAGAAAATTCTAAACTACCATCTACCAAAGGCCAAAAAGAAATAGACTGTCTAAAGAAAGGCCTAGCCACCCGAAG